TCTTTAATGATTTGAGATAAAATTTTGTAATATTTTCTGTAGTGGGTTATTACTGGACCCGCTATTTAGGTAACGAGCTTGCTTACATTTGTATGATGTTTTGATACCTTTAGTTATCTATACATTGGTTTCAGACAATTTTTTCTCTGTTTTAGTATGAAAACTTCTTTTCAAATATGCTTAAAAAGATGTTTAGAAAAGAATTGAACTTTGAATCCATATCACCACCACTGAGTAATAATTCCCAGTCTTCATTACTGAGATGTTGTATAAATTCATTTAAAGTGACTTCATTTATCACTCTAGTTACCTTCTTATCATTGTCAAGGTTAGAAATAAGGTTTATGTTATTTATAACTTATAGCTGAGCATCGTGATCAGATAGCTCATTTATTACCGGTTTAATGGAATTGTGTTCTAACCTGTAATTATCTACAAAAATATTATCAATGGCAGAGTTGCAGCTATTTTGAATTCTTGTGGGAAAACTAACTGTAGGTAAGATTAAATGTTGCGAAAAGAGAATTTAGATATTGCCCACAGCAGCTTTGAGAGAGATAGTCAATATTTATATCCCCACAGATGATACGTTCCGTTTTCGGTTTGTAAAGGTAGTCCATAATGTTGTTTAACTTGTTAATAAATGTTTCAGTCACCTGTTGGTGCTCTGTATATTGTTAAAAAACATAATGTAGAAAAATTTGTATCAAATTGTACAGCACAGCATTTTATGTCCTGCTCCATGCAAAATTGCACTGGATCTATCTGCTATATATTAGATTATTTTTAACAAATTTACTCACTCCTGTAGCTAAATTTTTCCTGCAAAAACTACTCCTAGTGTGTAACATGTGTGTCTAAATTTACCTGTAAGATATTTGGTGCTTTCAAATGATGTTCAGTTAGATAAAAAATATGTGGTATTAGGACATTTATAAGGGAAATTATCAATTCTCCAGTTTTGAGAAAAGTACTCTTATGTTGTGATGGAAAACCATGAGACTTTCTTTCTGGGTGGTCTCTAAGTTCTGGGTTCAAAGGCCACTAATGTTCTGATGATATCACATGAAATTTATATTTTGATTGTGATGTAAATTTAGATCTGGCTAATCTACAGTGACTTGGGCATTAACAAAATACCCACAGTATCGATTTTCAATAGATACATAGGTAGCAGAAAAGTATTAAGTGATTTATAATTTGCTAAAGCGCCTACATGGTACATAGAGGGACAGCTGTACTTTTTTAAATCGATGTATAAATTAATTTAGCGCTGAACGTTGTATAACCTGCAACAAGCAAATAGGCAAAGGCTGTGAAACACATGTATTACGGTATTAGGCGTTCTCTGGTCATAACCTCCAAACTCGTAAGATACCTGCACTGTAACGACGTTTACTTCTTATATGTTGGTCACATTGTATAACGGAAATCGACATAAAAGTATCAGATATGAAATTAAGTCTGAGAGAGCTCAAAGTTTTGTGTATATTTTGCATATTACAGACGAATTCGAAATCTGCAGAGAGAAATATAGTGAAATAATTTTTTTTCAGTTGTATCTATACACACTTCTACCGAATCGTACTTTGTTTTCGCGAATGAATTAAAGAACTGTGTTAGAATGGACGAAGCAATAAGCAAAGGTTCGATTCCGCTGTGGCAGAAGGAGTGTCCTGAAGTCTCCAATTTAAGGTTTGCTCCTTATGGCATTTAAGATAGTTTAAAAAAATCTGTATAGTTGAAGGTTTGAGAAATTTCACATTTGAACTGTTTCTTATGAAGGCATCCTTAATTTAATAATTGTTGAACAGTTGTCATAGGAAGTTGTGGTTATATTAAGAAGAAGGAAAAAAAAGGAGAGAAAGAAAGAAAGAAGAGAGTAAAACCTTTCTGTGAAGTGAAAAGTGAGGATCAATATATGGCAATATCATCATGATTTAAAGTTTGACGCATTATCTGAAGCAAGCTTTCCTGATGACACAGTTAACAGGAACAAATTAATGGAAATTTTAAAGGCATGTAACATACCAAGTCAATTTATTGTAGCTATTTATTATAACAACCTCATTGCAATAAAAATGGAATCTGATCTCTCAGAATGGGAACTGTTAAGATTAACCTTTCAGATGGCTGGTAATTTCATGTGGTGCTCAGTTAAACATAGAGTATGTTGTGAGTGTGCAGTAACATTGTTTGCAGTGCTGATAGCAGTTTTGTTTAATTATTTTTGTGACAGGGCTGAAAGCAATGTTTCTTGTGGTCTGTGGAAATGTTTCAGTATGTTTTATAGCTTAAATGGAACTTTAAAAAATTAATGCTGTTTCTTTCAGTGCCATGCAGTATGAAGATATTCTAAGCTTTATTTCATATTGCATGAATCCTTTGCTTCAACAATTGTGACTATAGTGCAAAGCTGATTTAATTTTTTTCTTGTAATTCTTAAGATGATAAGTAATTTCAGTTTATGAAACTTTGATAATGACACTTATTTTCTTTTAATTAACAATACGAGCCTGAATGTATCCAAGAAAACAGCTTCTTCATTTAATGCAACCTTATCGAAGAGTCCAAACAAGTGCAATGTGACAGGGGAATCCATTGCTACAAAGAAAACACCTGGAAAAACACCTAAGAAATCGCCAGGTAAAGTATATATATAAAATATGTTCATTACTTGTAATATATATGTTTAATTAGGACCAGAAACTTATTTAAGTCTTTGTCAAAATCTGCTTTTTCCTTAGCTATAGTAAAATTGTCTTCGTTCTCTGAATTACTGAGAGGAAATGAGTTTTGTATAATGTGAAATTAAGGTTTCCAGAAGTTTCTAATTGATATCAAAATAATCTCTGTATGCACTACCTTCTAGTCAAGTTACCATATTCTTACAAGGGAATCTGGTCAGTTGATTCCCACCACTTTTGGCCCGTTTTTCGGTATTGCTGTGGCCCCTCCTGTACTTCTTGGCCAACATATTTGTTGATACTTTACAATTTCTTTGAAAAACACAGTTTTATTTTCCTCTTGCTTTACTGTTATTGCAGAAGGCATCCCTGCATTGTCTGCCATAACTCAGTTTGTAGCAGTTGTTTGGCTATGGTGCAGGCAACTTAGGTTTGATTCTCAGTCAGGCTTTTACAATCATCAAGTCTACAGTGGCTTTGGGGCCTCAAATTTAATTTATTTTCATATGTGTTTGCAAATTTTCTTTCTCTGTTCTTTCATTAAAGTTCAAGAATGAGAGGTGTATACTTGGTTTCTCAGTGTGAAACATCGAAAATACACCAGTATTTTATAACAGTGAAGCTTTATATGATGCATTGTGAGAATAAAATCAAGCATGTTAAGGCCGCCATTCACGATCGCTCCATTCGTCCAATGGCGCGGTGTCGCTCCAAAATTGTACAAACGTGGTCCATTCTCATGCCAGTCTGCCACGAGCCTTCGTCCAGTGAAGTCCAAACTTGTATAATGTCGGGTCGTGAGTTTGTTATTGAGGTGATTGAGAAATATAGAGAGTTGCCATGTTTGTGGCAGATAAGTAATGAAGACTATCATGATAAAGCTAAAAGAAGCTTAGCAATGGAAGAATTGGTGGTTTTATTTAAAACCAAAGATCCTACCGCCAACAAAGAAAATTCCCTTAGAAGTTGCTTCAGAAAGGAGCATAAGGACTTAAATTGCTTCTATTTAAGAGCCATTGCTTTGACCACTTTCGTTTTGGTTTTTTCCTTTTAATATACAGGCATACTGCCGTAGCTAGTACCAATTCTTCGTCCATCGCAAACACCACGCACTTCACAGAGGGACAACAAACCGCGACTGGCGTGACGCGACCGTGAATGTAGTACCTCTTTGGACTACATCCGTTTGGACGTCATCCATTCGGATGTCATCCATCTGGAGCGATCATGAATGGCGGCCTTTAGACTAGGATGACATGATTGTGGATGGTGATTATTGTAAATGCAACAAAAACACAAACATCAAACAAATGCTTGCCTGCTTGCTGCGTTTGCATTTTCAGATTGTTACTTCAAATGGAAATATAGAAAAATTCACATAATGTTATTGATTTGGCAGCATACTATGCAGACCTTGTAATTATGGAAACAGGTGCTTGTGATTGGTTTCGTATGAGTGTGTGCGTTTTTATAGTCTTCCTTATTAGATAGTTCATAAATAACTGCAATGAGAACCTGAAAGACTGCGATGTAGTTTTTAACTTGTCTATAAAAATACTCATTGTGGTGTACATTTTAGCAGTATTATTTCATTGAACAAGTAGACATAATTTTCTTCAACTAAGTACTTGTCATAATTAGCCTGTTGTCCCCAGGAATCAAGAATTTGCAGAAATTTATGCATCTCCTCTTATGTATTTGTTGTTTTTTAAGAACAATTGTGTTTTTGTTTTTTCAGCTTTCCTAATTTTATTATAGTTACAGAAAGTTTACAAATTTCGATGATAAATGCTTTAATTTATTTTACAGATGCGAGAATTAAATACACTGCCTTTGCATAAGAATATGGAAGCTAGCAGTTAGATTGATAATCAGATATTCTGAAAAGGTGTTACTATGTAATAACTGAATTATGGACTTAACACATTGAGGAACGAACTGCACTCTCGTTCTCAAATGTGAATGAGGAAAGAAAATAAATTAACACAAAGGGTTAAAAAATAAATGACATTTTATAACCTCCAAAACGGTTATAGACGTGATGATTCGAAGGATATTTCGTGGGGAATCTGACCCTGGTCACCTGTACTCTTCAGAAACTTGTCCTTTGTTTCAGCTTATGCACCTACAGAAGAGGCTAATGAATAGTCTGATCATCAGAAGCACTTGTTTCAAACACAAGGGGACCTGGAAGGTATCAAGTATGGGAGTGGTCAATCAGATTGATCATGTCCTGGTGTCGAGAAGGCATTCCTCTTCTGGGCCAGGCGCTGGGAGGGCAGAGAAAGATTAGTCTAGCTAGAAGTGTAATTATTGTTGTTTGCGTATAGTAGAGGTGTTGTTTTAGTGACATTGTGATTACCA